TATTATTATTATTTTTATTATTATTATTATTATTATATTATTATTATTATACATTAAAAGAACAGATAATGTTTTCCTACACAAAATTAAATGTCACATCCTTAGAGCAAAATTTGTATACATTGCAAGAATTACTTTAATCTTTCCATTATTAATCATCCAACAAACTTGTTATTTTAAAGAAGTGATCTCACTATTCCTGTATGGTTGGATTTTTTCACATCCTAATACATAATGTTGTAGTGTATGTGCATCCCTAAGACGACACAGTTGACCCGCCCCTCCAGTAATATTTGTATCCCAATCTTAGTCTCATTATAACAGTGTCAACAGATGGTAAGTTAGTCCCGTAAGTTACACTGGTGTTTTGTAAAACATATACAGAAGGTGCTGAAAACTCTCGCTACATATGGCAATTACTTCTCTTCCTGCTTTTTCCCATTCCTCTCTTGTTCTTTTAATTTCCCTCTTTATCGTTATAATACTTACTTTGCTAACAATATCTATATACATCTTTTCTGCAGCTTTTTTTGGGCCAATTTGTCAGCCATTTCATTTAAATGAATCCCCACACGTCATGGAATCCATACAAATTGCACAGTGCATGCCATTTCTTGCATTTGTTACGTAATTGGGCATGAGTATTAAAAGGTATTTTGAATAAATAATTTACATCAAAAAACCCTTGCCACACAGGTAAAGAAATCATAAAAAGAAAAATTAGATTAAAATTAAAGTTAATGAAAAGGAACTTAAGACATTTGCCTTCTTGATAGCTCAGTTTCCGTAAAGTATGGGGGCCTGTCCTAGGAGATAATTGTTCACTTACTGTTTGTATTGAGTTTCGCTTTGTTCCATATTAATTACTTCGGGATTACTGTTTCAACTCTAAAACAAAACTTGGTGTTACATGACAACAGTACAAGGCAGTATTTAGTGGGTATTATGTAATTTTTCTGGCTGTGTTGGTAGTCCAAGTTATATTTATCTGCTAACACTTTTCTGATTGCTTACAGTGATTGACTTAAACTGTATTTTTACATAGTGTTAAGTCTTACAGATTGCCCCGGAGGGGGCTAGTTTATTGGGCACCCCCTTACATCCTGTGCAAGGTGAAGCGCAGAAGCGTTTACAGTGCCCAACTGGGAAGCATGCGGAGTTCATGCTTGCCTTTATGACTCATGCATTAAGAGCGTGGAAGCCTGAAGGGTCATGGGTTTTGTCAGCAAGTTACATAAAGTGACAGAATGATGAGTGTGTGCGGGGGGGAATTCCCGGTACATTTCATCTGTTTATAGCAAAGCGTGGCAGGTCCCTAATAATGTCAAGTGCCAGGCCTGTGACTAGGAGGAGAGATATCTGGTCAGGGAGGGAAGAGGTGTTGGTAACGGCTGGGGACCTGTAGGAGGAGGTCATAGGGCAAGTGAGGATGTAGTGAGGGAGGGTGTGAGAGTCGGGTTGGCCACAAAGTTTACAAACAGTGCGGCCAGGCTCAGGGTTGCCAATGTACTCCCATAGGTACCTGTACCCTAGGCGCAGTCTCATGTATATAATCTGTTGAGATCGAGTCAGAGATTGATACTCTTTGTAGTGGCGGTTGGAGTCACCGGTTACAGCGTCACAGTGGCATAGTGTGACGCTGCCCCTTTGTTTCAGGTGTGTCCATTTTACGTCGAATGCTTCTCGTTGTGTGGCGTGTATGCGAGATTTGAGATGATTCAGGGAGAGGGCGAGGGTGGCTACAATATCTTCTTCTTGTGTCGCTTCTTTGGCAAGTCGATCAACAGTGTCACAGGCAGTTATTCCTATACGTGACGTGATCCAAATATACTTGACACGGATGTCATCAGTTTGTTCTAGCCTGGCGACGGCGGCTAGGGTGTGTTGGGCAGCAGGGGAGGAGGGGGGAGGGTAATATGAGCCTCGCTAGCGCAGAAGTGCTGTCACTGATTATAAGGAGGTTCCGGCGTTCAGTGCGAGCATAGGTCGCCCCCTCATGAATGCCCGCGAGGATGGCTATGCTTTCAGTGTCAGTGGAGGAGGCCCAGTCGTGGACCCTGATTTTCTTGCTGGCCTGGCGCTCAGGAATCCATACAGCTGCCCTAGCGCAGCCCAGCGTGGTGACAGACCCATCACAGTAGACGAGGATAGGAGGGAGGGAGGTCGTAAGAGAAGAGGCGACATCATCAATCCGCTCAAGGCAGTTAAGTTTGAGCATATACCGCAGTTGGGTGGATTTACGACCAGGGAAGGTGTGGACGACAACATCAACATACGGGGAGTTCCACGGCTGTAGAGGTGGATGAGTGTACTCGGGAGGGAGAGAGGTCGAGGGGGTGTAGAGGTGATAACGCAGGATGTCAGCAGCAGTGTGGACGGGCCAGTGTTGAGAGAGGGAGGGAGAGGTAATGGGGGCAGGCCGGCGCAGGAGGGAGTCAAGATGTGAGTTCAGTGAGCGAGACAGGGGAGTCGGTTGCTCACTGCGAAGAAGTTTAACACTAAGGATGGCATTGAGAGCAGTAATTCGATCGCAGACTGGAAGCAGGATCAGTTCACGCTGCATGACTTCTATTCTGGTGGTCATAGGGCAGCCGAGGATGAGTCTCATCGCTCTGTTTTGGATTTTCTCTATGCTTTGTTTCTCGCGTTGGGAGGCAACTACATGGACAGGAGAGGCATAATCTATGACAGCTCTGACGATAGCAATGTACATGAGACGTATGACCCTGGGCGGCAACAGCAGAGGTGGTGACGCTGGTAGTGGCTCGCACGGGTAGACCAAGGTACCTGTAAAAATTTACTTGATCGATGTCTTGTCCTTGCGGAGTCAGCGGAGTCTGACGCCGGAAATGTGAGATGAACTTGGTTTTAGTGTGTGAGATGACTAGCCCGAGTGTTTGACAGGTCCGGGCGAAAGTGGAGAGTATAGGTTGTTCATGTTGCACTGTAGTAATCTGGAGGAGAATATCATCGGCGTAGCTTATGATGTGACCGTCTAGGGCGCGCTCAGCAAAGATGTCGCTAAGGCGGCAGATGGAGTTCATGAGTACATTAAAGAGTGTAGGGCTGAGTACACCTCCCTGAGGCGTGCCAAGATCAAGGTCTCTGATCGTAGAGTAGTGGCCCTGAAAACGGACACGGGCCTGTCGACGGGAGAGGTAGTCAGCAATCCACGTGAGGAGTTTGCCCTTCACATCAATGTGAGTGAGACCCTCAAGGATCACTTCACTATTGGCTTTATCAAAAGCACCCTTGAAGTCGACGAAGAGGGAGGTTTTGGCTGAGGTGTTCGCCATGTAGTGAGCGATGCAGTGAGCAGTACTCTTTCGGGGGCGGAAACCATAGAGGTCAGGGTGCAGGTGGGCTTCAATTTTCCAGTGGAGGCGGTGGCGTATCATGCGCTCCATCATCTTTGAGAAGCAGGAGATGAGGGAGATTCGACGATATTCATCTTGTCTGCCTGGTTTAGGGACTGAGATGGTGGTGGCAGTCTTCCATAAGTGAGGCAGCTGACCAGTATCATAAGAAAGGTTAAATAGACAGAGGAGGGGGTTACCAGGGGTGGCAATAAGGGCATTTAGCACTTCATATGTGACGCCGTCATCGCCAGGGGCGGTGGACCGGCCGCGCTTAGCAGCATTTAGTAGTTACACTGTGTGAAAGGCACGTCAGTGTCTGCAGATAGGTCTTGGTACTCGGAGATGCGCTGTCGGCGTTGTGGTTGCAGTGCGAGGGTGAGGTCTCATACAGCGGGTGGTAGTGCATCAATGGATGCGGCCTCCTGCCACGTCTGGGAGAGCGCTTCGGCTCGGGCAGCTGGTCTGGGGTGGAGCCCGGGTCTGGCGTTGATGCCCCGGGCACGGTTAATGGTGAGCCATATATCACCTATAGAAGTAGACTGGTCAATAGAAGAAGCAAAGTCAAACCACTGCTTCTCTCATGCGAGAGTGATGGCAGATTGGAGCTCTTTATTTGTGCGCATCAGGAAGCGTAGAGCATCAGGGGAGCTGGGAGATTTCTTCCACTGGTCGACTGCTAGTCGGTGCCATACTCGGATAGACTTAACATAAGGGTCGCGGTTAACATTCCAATGACTCCTGGGCTGGCGGTTAGGGCGGCGGTGTTTTGGGGCAGGGGGGAGGAGGGTAGTGCATTGTTTGGACAGATCAAGGTAGAGTTGGTCTGCGGTGGTGACAGTGTTATCCTGAAACCATTCAGCAATGGTAGTGATGAAGGCAGGTATGTTGGCAGGGGGTAGGCTGAGCCTAAGGCCCTTGGGTGGGGGGGGTATTCTCACGTACTGGAGAGTAGTGTGGATAGGGAAATGGTCACTGTGAGGGGAGTGGAGGATGCGGGTGGAGTGTGGGCAGTGAGGGTCAGAGTAGAGGGCGATGTAGTCAAGTTTCCCTCCCCCGATGTGGGTGGGTGAAGGAGGGCAAAGAAGACATACAGGGTCATCAATGGTTTGTAGGTAGGAGAGCCAGGAATTACCCCGGGAGTTTGAGTGGGGCCCCTGGGAGCCGAGACTGGGGTGTCGGGCATTGAGGTCCCCCACAAGGAGGGTGGGGGTGGAGGTGATATGGTGTGGTAGGACAGGTACATTAGGGGTGGAGGGAGACACATAGACATTGACAATATTGAAGGACATACCTTTTAGTGCGATTGTGATGGCGTGTGCGTCGGTGTCGTCATCAAGGGGGACGTCGAGAGGTTGATAGGGGACATCCTTCTTGACGCAGATCCGCAGTCCACGTGCATAGCCTCGTGGTAGTCCATCGATGCGAAGAACAGGGGTGGATGGGCTCTCAACCTATGTGTAGCCACTGAGCACATGGGTACCAGCAGCACACCGCGTTTCTTGGAGGCACAACACGTCGATATTTTCAGTGTAGGCGTAGGTTTTGAGGGCACCAAACTTGTTTTGTAAGCCATTTATGTTCCAGGTGAGTACCAGCAGTCCTATAACGTTGCTATCCATTGTGGTGTATTAGACTGATTACAGGCTGGCCGGTTGGGTACATGTGTACCCCTGATGTAGACGGATGAGCCTTAGGTACATGCATGTCGGTGGAGTATGGGTAGCTGGGTGTGGAGTCCTCAGGTCCGGTAGGGAGCCCTGGTGGAGACAGCACAGGAGCGGGCGTGGCTTGCGGTGGGTAGACGGGTTGAGCCACCACGTGACGTGAGGATAAGGCAGGGCTTGGCGCGGGGGCACCAGGACGCACAGGCAGGGAGCAGGGGGGCCTACCAGCTTGTGTCAAACCAAAAGAGGGGAGTGACAGGGTGGCAGCCTCGGGCAGGAGTTGGTTGTGTAGGTCGGAGATGGCGGTGCAGAGTGTAGAGAAGAGTTTCTCAACATGACTGGCAAATTCTTGGAAGAGGGACATGATCTGTGTCATGTCACTGGAAGGGGGTTGTGGGGGGGCACTGGTGGAAGCACCAGGGGAGAAACCCCAGCAGTGGGGGATGGGGGGGTTTGTGAAAGGGGGTGAGAGCAAGAGACTGGACAGCCTGGGACTAGAGGCTGGAGTTGAGGGGGGGCACTGGGGTGGGATCACGTGGATTGACAGCGTGGGGTAGGGGTTGTGGGGGGCACTGGAGGGAGCACGAGGGCTGGACAGCAGTGGGGGAGTGAGAAGGGGTTGTGGGGGGGCACTGGTAGGAACGGGCTGGACAGCATGAGGTGGGGGCTGTGTGGGGGGGAGACACTGGGTGGGGAGCACAGGACTGGGCGTGGGGGTAACGGGGGGGTGGTGGGGGGGGCACTGGTGGGAGGACAGGGCTGGACAACGTGGGGGAGTGGGGAAGGGGTTGTGGGGGGGGGCACTGGTAAGAGCACAGGCTGGACAACGTGAGAGTAGGGCTGAGTTAGGGGGCACTGGTGGGAGCACAGGCTGGACAACGTGAGAGTAGAGGCTGAGTTGAGGTGGGGCACTGGTGGGAGCACGAGGCTGGACAGCGTGAGTGGGAGCTGGAGTTGAGGGGGCACTGGTGGGAGCACGGGGCTGGACAGCAGTGAGGTGGGGGCTGGGTTGAGGGGGCACTGAATTTGGGAGCACAGGCTGGAAAGCAGTGAGGTGGGGAGACTGGTTGAGGGGGGCACTGGGGCAGGAGGCAGGGCTTGACAACGTGACAGTGGGGTTGAGGGGGGGGGGGGACTGTGGGAGCCTGTGAGGCTGAGACTCTTGTGGGGAGTAGAGGCCAGGGATGAGGGGGCTGCAGTGGGAGAACAAGGCTGGACAACGTGAAAGTGGGGAGGCTGGCAGAGTTGAGGGGGCACTGGTGGGAGAACGAGGGCTGGACAACGTGAGGAGTAGGGCTGGAGTTAGTGCAGGCACTGGTGGGAGCACAGGCTGGACAACGTGAGGAGTGGGGGCTGAGTTGAGGGGGAGACACTGGTGGTAGCATGAGGGCTGGACAACGTGGAGTAGAGGCTGGGTTGAGGGTGGGTCAATGGTGAGGAGCACAGGGGCTGGACTAGCACGTGAAGGTGGGGCTGAGTTGAGGGGGCACTGGGTGAGAGCACAGGCTGGAGTGTCGCGAGGAGTAGAGGCTGAGTTGGGGGGGGCTGGTGGGAGCACGGGGAACACTGGCAGTGGGAGTGGGGGCTGAGCTGAGGGGCACTGGGTGGGGCAAAGACTGGACAACGTGAGTGGGGAGGCTGTGGAGTTGAGGGGTGGGTCAATGAGGTGAGAGCACGAGGCTGGATAACGTGAGGAGTAGAGGCTGAGTTGAGAGGGGCACTGGTGAGGGGCACGATGCTGGACAGCGTGAGTGGGGGCTGAGTTGAGGGGGGGGGCACAGGCAGGAGCACAGGCTGTACAACGTGAGGAGTGGGGGCTACAGGCTGGGGGGGGCACTGGTGGGGAGCCTGAGGCTGGACAGCGTGAGGCTGGAGTTGGGGGGGGGGCACTGGTGGGAGCACAGGGCTGGACAACGTGAGGAGTAGAGGCTGGGTTGAGGGGGGCACTGGGTGGGAGCCTGAGGCTGGACAAGTGAGAGTAGAGGCTGAGTTGACGGGGGCACTGTGGTGAGGCACGAGGCTGGACAGCGTGAGGTGGGAGGCTACAGGTTGGGGGGAGCACTGGTGGGAGCACGAGGGCTGGACAGCAGTGGGGAGGCTGAGGTTGAGGAGGGGCACTGGTGGGGGAGCACGAGGCTGGACCTTGTCGGGAGTAGAGGCTGAGGTTGAGGGGGGGGCACTGGTGGGAGCACAGGGCTGGACAGCGTGAGAGTAGGGGCTGAGATGAGAGGGGGCACTGGTGGGGAGCTGAGGCTGGACAGCGTGAAGTGGGGGCTGAGTTGAGGAGGGGGCACTGGTGGGAGCACAGGGCTGGACAACGTGAGTAGAAGCTGGGTTGAGGGGGCACTGGGTGGGAGCACGAGGCTGGACAACGTGAGGAGTGGGGAGGCTGAGTTGAGAGGGGCACTGGTGGGGCAGCAGGGCTGGACAGCACGTGAGGTAGAGGCTGGAGGTTGAGGGAGGGGGACACCTGGTGGGATCACAGGCTGTGGACAACGCGGGGAGTAGGAGGGGGTTGTGGGGGGCACTGGTGGGAGCACGAGGGCTGGACAGCGTGGGGGGGTGGGGGGGTTATGGGGGGGGCATGGTGGGAGACACGATGCTGGACAGCGTGGGGGGGAGTGGGAGGGGGGTTGTGGGGGAGCACTGGTGGGAGCACGGGGCTGGTGGCGTGTGGGGTTATGTGGGGGCTGTGGGGGGCCCTGTTGGGAGCACAGGCTTGACAACGTGAGTGGGGGCTGGAGCTGAGGGGGCACTGTTGTGGGCCGAAGTTGGACAGCAGTGAGGAGTGGGGGCTGGCAGCAGGTTGGGCAGGGGCACCTGGGTGTCAGGATCTGGGGCTGGACAGCCTGGGGAGTGGGGGCGCTGAGTTGGGGGGGTCACTGTGGGTGAGGCACAGGCTGGACAACGTGGGGTAGAGCTGAGTTGGGGGGGGACTGGTGGGATCACAGGGCTTGACAGCGTGGGGAAGGGGGGGGTGTGGGGGGCACTGGTGGGAGCACGAGGGCTGGACAGCGTGGGGGTGGGGGGGGGGGTTGTGGGGGGAGCACTGGTGGGGGCACAAGGGCTGGACAACGTGAGGTAGAGGCTGAGTTGGGGGGGGCACTGGTGGGATCACGAGACTGGACAACGTGGAGTAGAGGCTGAGTTGAAGGGGGGCACTGGTGAGAGCACGAGGCTGGACAACGTGAGAGTAGAGGCTGAGTTGAGGGGGGGCACTGGTAGGAGCACGAGGCTGGACAAAGTCAGAGTAGAGGCTGAGTTGAGGGGGGGCACTGGTGAGAGCACGAGGCTGGACAACGTGAGAGTAGAGGCTGAGTTGAGGGGGGACACTGGTGGGATCATGAGGCTTGACAGCGGAGAGGGGAATCTCCCTTTGTCTCCTCCTTGTTTGTTTCTCCCTGTCTCTTTACTCCTCTCAGTCTTTATCTGTTCCTTTCCTTTCACCAGTTAAATTTCCGCGACGTTGGTGTTTACACAAATCAGTTCTATAAAGAAAAGCACTAAAACTAGGCAGCGTATTTAAGTTATTGTGGAAATATAAACATCGTGGGGACAAAGTCAGTCAATATATTTTTACATAGGAGCACTTGCCTAAAATATTGTGCACGTTAGTTACTTATCACGAAAATTAAAAATTCCAACGAGTTTCTAAATTCCACCATAAATTCTGAATATTTTATAGTGGTGTATAACTGCACACGGACAACCTTTTGACTTGAGGGAAGACGAGACATTGTTCACGCATCCACGCAAAACAATAACTCTCATATCATCAACCTTTATTTTGTTGACTTGTAAGTTGGTACACCGATCAACGGTGTACATTGGTGCTATTAAACTATAGGTCATATATCTATTTCAATATAATAGTATCAAGGTTACAGTATGTTGCAACTTATACAAACTGAACAGACGTTTGTGTGGAAAATGGTTGTTTCACTGCGCACAGAAAGGCGTCTGTCTGTGTGTAGTGAGAAGTGATAGTACGGTAGGAGACAGCTTAATAAAGGGAGGAAATGGTAGGGAAGCTTGATGTAAGGGCAGTGTAGAGAGAGAGGGTGAGGCAGCTGTAGGATCAATCTAGTCTGCACTAACATCCTAGACAGTACATGCAGTGTTGACACAGTGAATCTTTAATCTCCACATGCATTATATATTATTGCTATTATTTTCATTAACTAGAGTGTATTGTGTGTTATCCTTCGTTGAAGTCTTATATCCCAAAGTTAATATTAAAGGCAAGTACACTTTTCTTTACATAAAAACACACATTACCATCGATGCATGTGAGGCAGGAAGCCAAGCTGAGGTCATATTAACGTGTAAGTTTCTAATAACACAAGATGACAAAAACTGTGGCGTGAGTTAGAGTCTGTAGTGTATTGTTATAACTTACGGTTATTACCGCAACACTGTCATCACTCAGGCCATAAATATTACTGATGGTATTTTCTTGTCTTACAGTGTCTACGTGTTAACGTGTTTCACAAAAACATATATCAATTATTTGTGAGGTTTTTTCATACTGTACCCGGTGTACCGTAATTGACCGGAAAGAAAAGGGGGACAACTTACTGTACAATATTTCAAGTGGTCAGAATATATTAACCACAGCTGTGTAAATACAAGCCAAGTTTAATAGTCTTCCTTAAGTGGACCTCCCTCACCCGGAAGAATGCAATAATTGGTTTTAAGAAACCTTTGTTGTTTGTCCAGATGTTCTATCGTGACGTCCCCATCCATGTCTGACTGTGTCGAGTCCCAGCACCCCTTCCGCCCTTTCAACAACCTTAATAAACTGCCTCCACTGTCCCCTTTACCACGTGAGGGCAATTTTAAAATTTTATTTAACTAACGCCAGACGATTTTATTCAGCAGAGGGAGACCCCTGTACTCATGTGCTTAACCTAAAATAATAACAGTAAATAAATAAACCCACATTTCCTCTTTTCTGATTACCCAGAGCCCAGGGCAGGGTAGTAGTGCCTCCAACCTCTCTGTTACTGTGATGCAAAGTTAAATGAAAGGTAGATATTATCCTCTTCTTGTTTGGGTATTCCTCGCCTAACATAAATATTAAACAATACCTAAAGTTTCAGCAAAAAATACCCTCTTAACTAGTGTGTATAAGCATGTGGTGATCATTTTTCTGTTCAAAGATATGTAACTATAATATACAACTACAGCTTCTAATGGTGACTAACTCTCTACTATACTGGCTCATCTATCTCCACGTTCAAAGTACACAATACTCCTGGCACTGGGTAGAGGGGGGGGGGGGAGAGTTCGTGTCCATTGTTTATATACGGCGTAACCCATGATTCCATGTACTATACGCCAAGACCTATGAAAAAGTCTGGTGTCATAAGAACATAAGAATTGGAGGAAACTGCAGGGGGCCTATTGACCCATACTGGGCAGTCCCATTTACACCCAACCCCTATTGCTCATATATCCATCCAACCTATGTTTGAAGCTATCCAGCGTATTCGAGTTAATGATGATATTTGGTAACTTGTTCCACTCGTCCTCTACTCGTTTTCCAAACCAATGTTTACCTATTTCGCGCCTAAATCTAAATTTGTCTAATTTAAAGCCATTGTTACGAGTTCGCTCCTGGTTGGATAGTTTGAGTACCTTTGTAGTGTCCCCTTTGCTTCGCCCTGACTTCCATTTATGCACCTCTAGCATATCGCCCCTCACTCTACATCTCTCGAGGGAGTGCAAATTAAGACGCTTTAACCTGTACCTGTACTCAAGGTTCCTAATGCATGGGATTACTCTTGTCATTCTCCTCTGAATTCTTTCCAAGGATTCTATATCCATTCTGTAATACGGTGACCAGAATTGAACAGCGTAATCCAAGTGAGGTCTCACAAGCGCAAGATATAGTTTTAGGATGACCTCGCTAGTCTTGTAACAAACACTCCTTTGTATGAACCCAAGTACTTTATTAGCTTTGTTTCGAGCAAATACACATTGTTTACTTTACTTAAGATTCCTACTTATCATTACTGTACTTCTAAATCTTTCTCTCAGTCGGATTTCTCAATAACATCGTTGTTCATCTGGTATCTGGTTTCCCTGTTTGCATCTCCTATGCTGAGTACTTTACATTTGTCCACATTGAATTTCATCTGCCATTTTTCAGACCATTCGAAATATTTATTCAGTTCTTCCTGTAGTTTTGGGGAGTCCTAGTCAGATTTAATTACAAGCCCTAATCCATTTTAGAATATCTCCTTTAATGCCATGAGCCTCCACTTTTCTTATCAGTCTTTCGTGGGGGACGCGGTCGAAGGCTTTGCTAAGGTCGAGATATACCACATCATGTGCACCTCGTCAACTGATTCGAAAACAGATGAAAAGAATGTTAATAGATTAGAGACATGATCGCCCGCTTGTGAAGCCATGTTGGGAATCATTGATCAACTAGTGCTTCTCCAGGTGATTTCGAATAGAGTTTGAAATGATTACTTCCAGTTATTTGCCTACAATTGATGTTAGACTGAGTCTTTCTTAAATATTTATCTTATTTTTTTCTTCGTACTTAGAGAGGGGTAAACAAAGGAAGTTGGCAGCGGTACGAAGCACCAATCATACTAATTTTATTTTAAAGAAAATTAACGAAATATTTTTTTGGGTAGATTGCATTTAAAATACCTTTCCGGTGTGTTACATGATCAAAGTTCACAAAAGAACGCACGCGACGTAAAGGTAGCGTTGCCCTAGTGAACGCAAGGCCAGTTTGCTCACTTCAGACAACTCGGGAGTGGACTTAAGTTTCCAAGATCCCAGACTCTAGCGCACTTAAATTGCTTTGTGCATATGACTACTCTATCAGAGAGTTGTTAAGTGCACCAGCAGAGATTTAAGTGAGTTAAATATGTTAGTGCATCCAGGCCCTGGTCTTTGGCGATAGAATCATGAAGAAAACATCGAATTTGTTTGACACCATTCATAGAACAAACATCGAGACTATGAAGAATATCATAAATTAACCACAAAAGACAATCAAAAAGGTGAACAACAATGAACATAACGGAGGAGTTAATTGAAGTAACCCGCGGCCGAGGCCTCACTACCAACGACCTCCTGAAATACGATATTGTGCCCTCTCCTCTCCTGTTTGACCAAGTTAGACTCATGACAAAACCTGTGAAGAGTCACTCATCATTGAGTTGGAAGTTCATCACATTCCTGAAGAATATTCCTACCATCACCACTCACCAGCCTGAATCAAACTTGTCACAGACATCGCGGGAACAGTCCGTAGAGCGACATTCCTGGGTTGTCAAAACTTCTCTAATGTTCTTTATAATTTCTCAAAAGATGGTTGGTTGGTTGGTTGTACGGAGAGAAGAGAGCAGTAGCTCTGGGAGTGGGAGAAGGATAAAAGTACAAGGTAAAGTTCAGAAGTGGGAAGTAAAGGAGAAGGTTAACAGCAGGTGGGCTATCCACCTTGCGGAGACGGGTTTTTTTGTCTTCCGTAACTGTGCTGCATTAGAGGTTCATGGGGTTAGGGAAGGCCGGTCTCAGCCAAGCTAAGCTAAGTTATTCTGAGTTGTCCTTGGGGCATATTATCTTAGGGTGGGGGGGGGTCCCTCCAGGTCCTTGTGGCACTGTAGGGATGATCCCCATCTTTTTTTTTTTTTAACTATTTAGGTGTTTGTTTATTTGTGGGGTCCCTCCAGGTCCTTGTGTGACTGGAGAGTTGTGCCCATCTTTTTGGTTCTTATTTGTTGTTATTTTGTTGTTATTGTGTATATAGAGGCTCTGGTTCTTCATTATCATTTTTCCTGCTTCTAGGCCACCATCTGTGTGTTGTATTGGTGATTTCCTCGATTAATTTGTTTAGTATGGGATCCTGTTCTTGCTGGATTTTTTCCCATATTGCTTTTGCTTGGGTGTGTATTCTGGTGTTGAGTGGGTCTATACTGTGTTCTGTGTGTATGTCTTGTACTGTTTGTGTGTATGGTGGTTGGTGTTTTGCCGCTCTTCTGAGGGCTATATTTTGTACTGCTTGATATTTAAGTTGATTAGTTCTTGCAATTGTGTTCAGAGGTATCGGAGGGTATTCTAAGTGTGGTCTGATCAGTGCTTTATATAGGTGCAATTGCGTGTTGGTGTCCAGTTGGAGGAATCTTCTGAGTTTTGTAAGTTGGGTTCTTGCCATAGCTATTCTTTCATTAATGTGAGGGATTATTCCACTTCTGGATATTTTGAGTCCTAATGTTTTTCCCTTGGCAACATATAGTATTTGTTGATTGTTGATAATAATAGGGCATGGGTTCGTTTTCGCGATGTGAATTATTTGGAGTTTTTGGACATTGGTTTTTATCTTCCATTTTCGTTCATAGTTGTTTATTACCTCTATTTCTCTGCATGTTCTAATGGCCATCATTTGTTTTGATTTTCCCGGGTACCTGATTATCTGTGTAACATCATCTGCGTATGCTATATATTCTGATTGCCGTGGTTGCGGCATATCTGCCGTATATACAGTATATAACGTTGGTGATATATTGCTGCCTTGGGGAACTCCGCTATAAAGTTCGAAGGTTTGTCCTAGATGGTTGTCAATGATTAGTTTGGCCTTTCTGTTATCTAAGAAATTACATAGTAGTGCTGTGATGTTTGTAGGCATGTTCAATTTGATTATTTTATACTTCATTCCTTCATGCCAGACTTTATCAAATGCTTTTGAAACATCTCTTAGAATTATATTACATTGTTCTTTGTTACTTGCAGCATTTGCGATTGATTCATATATTAATGCTATTGCTGTAATGGTTCCTCGGTTTTTTCGAAAGCCGTGCTGTCTCGGGTTATATTTGTTTTCTTGGTCTAGGAAATTTCTGAGTCTGTGGTTAATTATTTTTTCTAATATTTTACCGGGTGTTTCCAGTAATGAGATGGGTCTGTAGTTTTCTGCTTGAGTATGGTTCTTTCCTGCTTTCGGGATGAGTCTGATTTTGGCTAATTTAAATTTGGTGGGGAAAAAGCTAGTTGCAAGTGAGGCATTGTATATATTTTTGAGCTGTTCGATCATAGTCTGAGGAATGTTTTGTAATACGATTTTATTAATTTGGCTTATGCCAGGTGCTTTATTCTTGAAACTTGCTATTGTTTTTACAATATCATTTTGAGTTAGAGGGGCAATTATTGGGTTGTTGATGTTTAAAGAGTTGAGGTTAATTTTTACGGTGTGTTTCCATTTCTCTGTGTTCTGGTTCAGATATGTTCTAGTTGTCTGTTCTGTTTCTTGGCAGAAGCTTCTATTATCTTCGTCGTTGATTGTGAATATGTTTTTCCAGAATTCTCTAAATATCGGTTCTTTTTCGTGTGATTCTGTTGCTTTTCTACCGTTTTTGTCCTTAATATAACTCGTTTCTACCGAATTAGTTCCCATTAGGTTTTTAATTTTTTTCCAGAATGCTTTTGGGTTTCTGTGATCTGCTTGTGTGTCCTGAATCAGCTTGTTCCATGTTTCATTGTGTTTGTTCTTACTTATTTCTTTCAGTTCTTCTTTTATATTCCTGTATAATATTCTGATGTCATTGCTCCACCCGTGTGTTTTGGTGTATTCATATATATTGGTGAATCTGGTTTGTATCATTTTCTCTTCATGTGTTAATTGTGCATGTGGTAATGTACGGTATGTTGTTTTTGGGATATTGTTTTGCATTGCTGATGTTACTTCTTTGTACCATTTGTCCAGCGATTTGTCGATCTCAGTTGTGTCTTTATTGTGTAGGAGTGTTGGTTCGTTTTTACTGAGATCCAATTTAAATTTTTCCCAATTTGCTCTATTAAGTGAAAATCTTGGGATTGATGGAATTTGTATCGGAGATGTAGATAAAGTTGCTATTATGGGTAAATGATCACTGGTTGTTGTGGGTCCAGCTTTTAGATGTACATTTAGATGGTGATGCCTATTGGTTAAAACAATGTCAGGTTTCCCAGTGTTACCGGCTGATACATAAGTTGCGAAGTCGGGCCCAAGGTGAGTTATTGTCCCATGTTCGATGAGAGCATGTAGAATTTTTCCTCCTGGGTTTCTGATATTATTTCCAAGGGTTGTATGTTTTGCATTCAGGTCTCCTATAAAGTATGCTGGGTTGTTTTGCCTCATTAGTTTTAAAATATCACCTGTAGGGAATATAGGCCTTCTAAATGTTAAATATGACGTTCCGATTAATATTGGGCCTCTGGTTGTGTTTACTTCGGCTGCAAGAAAGTTGCTATGAAAGTTGTCTATGATTTTATACTGTATATTGCGTTTTATAGCTATTGCTATGCCGTCGTGTGGTTCATCATGAATGTTCGTTTGGTGTACATGGTAGTTAAAAATCTTGATTTTGTCACCTTTTTTCCGACCATGTGCGTTGATAAGAATAATGTCTGGGTCTATTGTACTGTATATATTGGTGAGTTCTGATTTCCTCGTCAGATTCCAGGCAAGGACGTTGTGCTGAATTATCTTTAATAATTTATTTTGTGTAATCGTGGATCCCGAGAACTTGGTGTAGGGTGTTTGCTGGCTCGTGCATCTCCTGGTGAGTGTCTACTCCTTTCCTCCTTCAGTCCTGTTCTGATTTTCTTAAACTTGGTTACATCCACTCTTTCGATTCTATTATATTTGGTATTTAAAAGTCCTGCAGTTATCAATTGGTCTATATAGGTTTCTTCTACCCTATCGTCTTCGTAGGTGAATTTTACAGTGCCTTCCTTGATTTCCTGCAGAAGTCTGTCATTTGATATTGTAGGTGGTGTGTTGACTGCGTAAAAGCGGATGCCGATCTCATTGCCTAGGTCTGCAGGCTGCACATCGCTTGGTGAAGATGGGGGGGCACGATGACCAGAGTGGGATTCTTTTCTTAATTTTGCTTTGGTTGGATCAACTTTTGCAGGTTGTGATTTCTCTGTTTGCTGAGTGGTGGAGTCTGATAATTTGCGGTGTGGTGTGACTTCTTGGGTGATAGGGTCTGTTTCCATGACGGTTTCTTCTGTGAATGGTTTGGTTTTGTGCTCCTGTGGTTTCATTGCTCCCAGGCTACTCTCGGTGACGATTTTGAATATTTCTGTTGAGGGGGCGTCGTCTGGAAATTTTACCTCTGGCAGATTGTTTGCCGCAAACATTTCTCTAATCGTTTTTCCGAATGTTCCTGGTTTAGCAATGTTATTAAGGTGTGCATGTATGATACTAGTTAGGATCGTGAAAGGTAATCCTTCACTCAGATTGAGGTATGTTGGCTGCATGAGGGGATTTTCTTTAGTTTTCTTCAAGACTTTGGAAGTGGTATCTTGTAGCTTTGCAATTGCTGCGTATGTTTTGTTGGGGTCTGTTTCAATCTTCTTGTTTGTTCTTTCTTTCTCTCTCAGATTTCTAATTATTTCTTTTCTTATGGGACAACGCGCTGCTAATGTTCGGTGGTCCCCATTACAGTTCAGGCACTTTGGGTTATTTTTATTACTACATTCTCTGAATGTATGGCCCTCTGTTGCACATTCGGAGCAGAACTTCTTATCTTTTAGTGGACAATTAACAGCTAGATGATCATATTTGTAGCAGGTCCAACAGGGTGTTATTGGGAAAAATTCCTCCTGCTCAATTTGATGTTTTGTTAGATGATAGTGAGAAATACAGAGGCCATTCTCTATTGCTTTTTGTGCCATGGAGATCTCTCCAAACCTGACCTTCATCATCGTAGGAGCACCAGGCATTAGCACAACCTCCTCGACTCTGGCCCATGTGTTCTTCTCTTCTATATTATTAGCAATATCACTTGGTGTTTGTTTTAATATGTTCTTATCTACCCTTTTGATCACTATGGATTTTTTGGCTCGTAGTTGTGGTGGTATTACTATTTCGAAACCATGCTCTTTTAATTTCTTTGTTGATTCGTCTGAAAGCATGTTGTCCACATCTTTTTCTTCTATGCACAGGACTATGTATGAGTCCTTTGTTTCTATTAGTGCGGCGAATTTGATGCATAACTGGGCACACAGTAGTATACCCAGTTCCTCCTTACGTTTTTCAGATACGCCCCCCAAGAGGGAGCGTACCCGTATTCTGTTTCCGGTTGTCCTAGGCATTACATTTGGTCGTTCTCCGTGTCGTCAGTGTTGATATGATTTTTCCAGTCACCCTACCTATTCCAGGCGAGCAACCTAAACACAGGAATTACAGCACCCCCCACCGCCACTTGCTGGTCGAATGGTCGTAGGGTGGTTCCTGTGTCACTCACCTAGTAACCCCGTTAGGGGAACCTATATCCCTATTGTTAAAATTGCTCACTTATAGGCGTGAACTTGATGTGTACCTATTCGGGGGTGGGGTGGAGGATTAAGGATTTGCGACCCCCTTCCTAGGTGGAACACGCACGATCACGGTTTCCCAGGAAGGCTCGGCGGAGGGGTGGGTTCTGCTCCTACCCCCTTTCGTGTTCACAAACCCCTACAGTGGAGGTGAACAGTTACAGGGGGGACCCAAGGACGAATACACCTCTAGTGTGCAGGTCCCCAGGCCAGAGCGAAAAAAGAAGGAAGAACAAGGTAAAATAGCCAGAGGTGCAAGTGACACCGGTGGGATCGCGGCCCAAATCCGCTACAGAAAGCCGTTACAGATCACCCGATCAGGGCCGCCTCTGATCAGGAGTCACCCCTGATCAGTAGGGAAGCACAGAAAGGGCGTTGTCTGCAACGAGTTTACCGGTTGAGTGTAGTGATGGTGGAGGGGTGGTCAATTTCGTTCAGGTCGTCAACGGTTGAAAAACAGGCTGGCAGGCTTTAGCAGTGAAGGTTCTAGAAAGAGGTCCGTTCACGGCGAAGGCTGACTTAGGTGTCTTCGACTTTTATAGTGTCAACCCATCTGTAAAAGACAGTGAGAGAATGAGAGCTGACGTTACTCCCATCAATCTTAAAGGGTAAACACACTAAGAACACAAAAAAATAGGTTTACCCGCTTACTGGTTCCCAGCGCCGACCAGCAACGGCAGTCAGCGCTGATGGTAGGCGGACACAGAGGACACAGTATATCTGCAAGATGTGGTGCAGCTGTCGTACAGATGTCTAGCTCGTCATCTGACGAAGTTTTTCTTTTGCTCGATGGTGCTTATGCAAAAATAAGGAGGAAAGGAACTGGAACACATAAAATCAATCGCAACAGAGAAAATTACAGTGAATAATTGCCATCTTTTTAGCGAGCTAAAAATGGGACAAAGTAGGTTTTTTCTCAATACATGAGAATGACTTGGGAAACTTTAGACAACATTTTGAAGGTTGAACATCGTTTGACGAAAACAAGGTGTAACTGGCGCACATGGCACAACTAGTACCGTGTAGTGGACGTCTCCCCTACAACTGCGTATGCGCATTCCAATGCCACAGTATCCTAGCAACCAGCCACGTCTTCCCTAGCAACGGAGTCAAGAAACCGGCGAGTTCCACGGGTTTACTTCCGGCTGCTGTGTATATAAGCTCTGTCTCTCCATTAAGATTCAGTCTGGCCTCGGTTCCTGAACACGCAACACCTCCAAGCAAGCTCCTCGCTGTCCAGCTCTCATTCAACCTGGAGGCCAGCAACAGGCAACATCTCCTCTAACGAAGCTCCTGCACATCTACCTCCTTCAGCACGCTACTTACCGAACATGTCTACTAAGCAGCTCCTCACCACACGGCATCTCCAGCACCAGACTGTCTTTCATGTAATTTATATTATATAAGAAAACCACCACCTAGAGTTTCCATCAATCCCATCCTGAGTGCTAGACAACATAATATCACGTAACCCTACAAATGGTGACTCCCGGAGATTCGCACTCACAGGATGGAGGAGAAACTGATCACGCTCCCAGTCTTCAAGCAGCATAGAAGACTGGCTTATCCACACAGAAGCAGCTCTGCTACTCTAAGCAGACACCAGTTCCTCTTCCTGCCCCAAGCACCACATCCTACCGACCCCAGCACACCCGTCCTGCCTCAGAAGCCGACCCCGGCCCAGCAGTAACCCCTGCCGCCCCTGACACGGCCTCTGTTCCTGAGTGCGGACCCACACACCCCTCTTTTCTCCCTCAGGTACTCCCTGCTAATGTCCTGCACCCTGCTGCTGTGTGGACCCAGCTGCTGTCACGAGCCCTCATCCGCTTCTGCTGACGCAGCCCCTGCTCCTGACCCAGGCCCACACACCCCAGCAGGCGCACCTGACGACTCTGTACCTGCCGTGAGGGAAGCACAACATTCATCGCCTCCACACACCCTTTTTCTCCCTCTCTTCTCCCACAGATAGTGTGTATATAGACAGTTGTATCCAGCGACCGGCTCATCCACGCCATCGCCGTTGTCTCACATGAGGCATGCACCGCCCGTTCTGCCTCATATGTGCTAAGCAACTCTGCAGACAACAAGTCTCCTACACCGCCTGGAGGGAAGGGGGAGTATTGTAGTGGACGTCTCCCCTACAAATGCGTATCCGCATTCCAATGCCACAGTATCCTAGCAACCAGCCACCTGCTACGTCTTCCCTAGCAACGGAGTCAAGAAACCGGCGAGTTCCCACGGGTTTACTTCCGGCTGCTGTGTATATAAGCTCTGTCTCTCCATTAAGATTCAGTCGACTGCTGGACCCGGAGCTGCGAAGACCTGCTTCTTTTGCTGCATGTTTGAGTCTGCAACTTTGTTGTGATAAGACACTCAATCCTAGTGATTGTACTTACTCAACATAGTGACGGTGTAATTACCATCACAGATTGTACGGGAAATTTCAACTTTTGGAAAAAACAAATATTTGGGCTCCCCAAATTTTGACTACTACCCGTGCGTCTACGTCCTGGATTGGCCAATCAGTGGTGCCCCACGGTGGCGTGATACATGCACGTTTACTGCGGTGCTCTGATTGGCTAACCGAACGTGGCGTGGTAGGTAGGCTGTTTCTACTCTCTAAGTCCTCTTCTTTCCTTTTTTTATCCCCTTCATGCACTTCGTTCTTTGAACGGGAGGCGGGACTTAGCGATACGGTCGATCCGGCAAGGGAACCTGTGATAGTGCAGGGCACCCACCCCTTGTCCGGGGGTCACCGGTAGGTGGCAACTTTCTTAGACATAACTATAGTCACAGGTAACCTGGGTGCAGAACCCTACGAGCCCGACGCCCGTCCAAGAGGGGGGGGCGGGGTCACTGCTCCCAGGCAGGAGCCCTGTGTTATAGGTAGGATTAGATGTAATCAAGAAGATGACAACAAGCATTAGAATAAAACATAGAGATAAGGGACACTCTATTGGAAGAGGAAAAGTGGCAGAAATCACTTACAACAAATTGCAAGTCCCACTAACAAGAATATTCAGCACCAATGAAGGTTTTAAAGTAATCTGTAAAGATGACTTTGATTCAGATAAAACCCTTTCAAAAGAAGCCAGAGATATATTTTACAATGAAGGCCTTGTTGTTGTCATGCCACCAGAACAAAAAGCAAAAAGATCAGTTTTCGTTCGTCAAGTCGACCAAGAGATCGGGAGGAAGACATCGGAAGACCTGAAGGATGAACTGGAACGCCAAAACAGGTGGATGAAGATTGAAGAAGTCATTAAGATAAAAGACTATACTCATGTTTTTAAGATTACTTTTGAAGAAGTGTCAATGGCTGAGAAAGTTTTACAACAGGGCTTTCTAATATTCAACATGTCAGTCACACCACATCAAATAAAGAAGGAGACATTCATCAGTCTGCAAACTTGCTTCTCCTGCTACAAATATGAAGAACACACAACGAGAGACTGTCCGGAAAAAGAAAAAAAGTACTGCTCAGATTGTGCAGGCGACGACCATACCTACACTGAATGTAAGAATACATATGTTGGCTGTCTCAACTGTAAGAGAAACGGGAATGCATACATAGGACATAGGACGTTAGCAATGGCATGCCCAATAAAAAAACACATGATAAAGTACAAGGAACAAGAAACAAGGAAAAAGGAACAAGACAAGAAGGATACGACATACGTCGAAATAGCCAAGAGAGCGGTCCAAGAGGCTCATAGACCAGAATCCACCATATTAAACTTAAGTGAGCCAATACGCCGTAGGTAGTTAGTATGATCCATGCACATTTGCACAATATCATTGCAGGATCATACAATGAGGAGAATGAAAATGTTTTAAATTGAATAACCTACAGAGATGATATTTCCAGAATCACAATCCGAAAAACTATTTCGAGCAACATGCAGAAGCGGGCAGAAGGCTACATCTGGGCAGGCAAGGTTTGAGGAGCAACAGCGATACAAGAACACAAGCGACTGATAGAGATCCCAGACAAATGACTAGAAGTGACAAAGAGAAGATAGAAATAACAAAAGGACAGACTATAAGACAAAGGAGTAGGAGGAGAGAAGATAAGATGGAAACTGATCACAATATACAACCTGAATCTGCTGAAGAAATTGGATTAAAAGTTATCACTACAACAAAACATGGAATCCCAACATCGAGACCAACAGGAGGGACAATAGTAAAAAACTGTGAAGGAGGGATATACAAGTGGACATATCAAGAAAAATCCTTAAGTGAAGATTATGTCTGGTCACTAATTACTACGGACAAACTAAAGATTACGACCAATGACTTTAAAATAGTAGACCCGTCAGAGTTTAGAAGAGTCAGAAGCGGGAAACAGGATGATAGGTCTCCACTTCAACAGTCACAATCCAAGTATAAGAAATAATGGACAATAGACAAACAGTAAGAACTTAGAAATATGCAACACAACGTAAACTGAAGTAGGAAGATTAACCTCGTGGCTATATCAGAAATTATTTTGTTATACTAATAAACAGTCACGGTGAGACAGAAAACAACAACATAAAACTCTTTAACTATTATGCTAAACCAAAGGAAATGAATGGGCGAGAAAAATGACGGAGTAGCGATGGCGGTTAAAAGAAACTTAAAATTTAAGCTAATTGATGACGGGATGAATTTCTGGCAATAAAATAAATGCAACTCAGAGACGTATTATTGCTGCTACTTATCTCACAAAGGACGACCCTGCTTACCTATAGAAGACCTATTAAGAATTGGCTAACAATAGTCATCCGATGTGC